TTTCTACTCATTTTCATTTACTCCTAATTTCTTATAATTTATGCTAATAATATTTTTTATATACAATGCAAATCAAATATGATTTATTAAAAACACAAATTCAACATTTTTACCTCCCAAAAAAAATTGAAAAAAAATAATGTAAAAAATATGCAAAAATGCAAAAAAACAAAAATTGATTTGAACTACGCACGAACAAACACACACCCATACAAACACACACACACACACACATACACATACAAACACACACACTCACACATACACTCACACACGAATGTGGTTGGACGTTGGACATGCAGTGCCACCCACTGAGGTCGTGATTTTGGACGCAAAGGGCGACCGCATCGAGAACGGCAGCATCGTGGGACCCATGCAGGAGCGCCAGAGCCTGAAGGCAACCTGCACGGTGAAGAACACACGACCCCAGCCAGATGTGGGCTGGTGGCGGGGCAGCAAGCGGCTGGCCACATGTGAGTATTGCCCTTAGCCGAAGCCAGCGAAGGTAGCAAATCGCATAAAGGTTTTGCTCTCTCGTGCTGCGTCATAAAAACTGCTGAAGCGCGTTTATTGATTCCCCAAATGCTTTAGAGGGGCGTGGGGCGGGGCTAAGCAGCCAATTTGATGCATAAGCTGGGGAATGGAGGTAGAGCTGGTTTACGATGCGCCACAAAGTTTATGCAGTGGCTCACGAGCATGAGAAGGGGGTTGGGGAGGGGGTCATAAAGCCAGGTCCAGGCCACGGAAGGATTTGGCTGCTTATCAATGTCAGTTTTCTTCTATTTTCTGTGTTTTTTTCTTTTCTTTTCTTGGCATAGGCAAATGTGCTCGGCCGCGCCCATAAAATGGCAAGCCCCCTTTTATTGTAAGGCATAAAAATAAACTTTGAGGCGATTTTCATTAAATTTTTAAGAGCCTGCGCTGCGGCTCCCGTGGAAATTAATTGATTTCTATTTTAAAAGCCCAACATCCATTACATTAGCTAAAGCAGAATTTAAAGCCGCCGCCACTCGAAATGCTTGTGGCATCTCGTCGGTTTACCGTGCGCCGGCCTTGAAAGGCTCTTAAAGTAATTTTTATGCCCCGAAAATCCCGGCCAGCAATTTACAAAGGCGGCAACAACATTTTCATTTTCGTTTTCTCTTTTTAATTTTCCTGTATATATATACATTTTTTTCTGGCTTACTTTGTGCTTTTGGCCCTCTAATTGGCCTTCGGTCTGTGGTTTGCAACCCTTTTTTGGGGCTGGCGGGCCGACGATTCGACACACCCGATCTTTGATTTCAAGCAGAATTGTATTTATTTTTGGTTGTAAAAGCCTCTGCTTCATCATAATTGCTTGTAATTAGAAAAAATAGCGCACCTGGAAAAACAGGAAACGTAAGAGTTGGTAAATACATTAGGAGTCTGCGGGATCAGCTAGAAAACACTCTTATAAATTCTAAATAAATTAAAATGTCTCTCTCTCTCTCTCTGCTGCACAGATTCGCCTACTCATGACTTGCACGATGGCCTCTATACCTCCACACTCGAGCTGGAGTGGGCTCTGTCTCGCGAGGATCTGGCACAGGACATTGAATGCCGCGTCGAGTCGGCGGCTATTAAAAATGCAATTGTTACCAAATTCGGCGTCGATTTGCAAGGTGAGTCATCATTGCGACAGCGATAGAC